AGATACAAATAACTACAAAAACTTCAAAATACATACAGTTCCCTACTTAGGAACATGTTGTGTTCTGAAAGTCTATTTATGAAATTGTTGTTTGAAATTCAGAATACACTTTCTCATAGAAGCATATTCAGAAGAGTAATCGGCAACATAGCTCTAACTGGAGACATTTGCAAAGAAAAATAATAGGAATCAATAAAGCTATACCATGGAGCCGACTTTTTCTTTTAAACATTATGAAATAGACATGTAGAATGTGTCAAACTACACAGTCGCCTCTGAACAAAAGGCAATACTGAGAAACAATAAAGTGAAATCTTAAATGGTTTCTTTTGATTTATAATGGGTGCTAATACTCGAGGAAAAAGCAAGTTTCATTTGGAGCAGTTACAGAGGCTAAAAGGAATACCCGAGGAGACGCTTAGGCCAGGCTGTGGTGCTCAGACTTCAGGGTCCGGATAAGTCATCTGCGGGACTCATTCTAAATGCAGATTTCTGGTCTTTCCCTCCAGGAAGGTGGATTTGGTGAGTCAAGGTAGAGCCCAGGGATATGCATTTTAACAGGTTCCTTGGAGAGTCTGACCCAGGTGAAGTGAGGACTTTACCTGGAGAATTGCTAGCTCAGAGGGGAAGTCATGTCTTCTCCACCTGGACTGAGGCTCATCAGCTGAGGCCTCCTCTGTTTGTCTGGTACAGAGCCATGTCTCCCCTTTTCTCCTCCTGTTTCCTTCTCCAGTGGAAGAAGAAAGCGAGTAACTACCTGTCGCTTCACAGACTATGTATGGATCAGAGATTGAGGGCTAAGAGCATAGGGCAGAGATGAAGGAGACCCCACCACTCATTCAACAAACATTGAGGATGAGATTCAGCTCCTATGCTGGTGATTAAAATGACAAAAAACTTGTGTAGGGTTGAAAAACAGTCTCTGTCCTGAGTACCCCTTCCCCCAGTAGTACTCCCCTACCAGTAGCTACCCCAGTTAAACCATCTGTAGAATGGGACTAATAACATCTTCTTTGTAGAATTTGTGTGTGTGCATGAGTGTGTGTGTGTGTAAAGTGTTAAATACATCATATGGTTAGTAAATGGTTATTTCTATTATTATATTGCTCTATGACTATATTAAAAGCTACTTGGAGGGAGGCGGCCTGTAGCTCACTTGGGAGAGCGTGGTGCTGACAACACCAAGTCAAGGGTTAAGATCATCTGTAAAAAAAAAAAATCTACTTGGAGAATCAAGACAAAGACATCAAATAGTATAGCCAGGCGACAATAAGCCAGTTTTATATAATACAGTTCAATTTGTTCACAAGTGCTGTAGAATGAAAATTAAGGTAAGCTCAGTGTGGACAAAGCTCTCTTAGAGGAGGTGGCAACTGCACACTGAGGCTTCTGCTTTCTAATACCGGCTCTACCACTTACTAGCTGGAGACCTTGAGCAATCAGCCTCCGTGTCAAGTGAGGACGATGCTACTCTCCTCACAGGGCTCTCAGGAGGGCTAGCACGCAAGTCTGCACAGTGCCTGCACATAGTAGGTGCTTGGTGAGAGCTCTTTAGCAAGATTTGAAAGTGGGAATAAATCTTCCCTCAATTATATAATCTCGCTAGCACGCAAGTCTGCACAGTGCCTGCACATAGTAGGTGCTGGGTGAGAGCTCTTTAGCAAGATTTGAAAGTGGGAATAAATCTTCCCTCAATTATATAATCTCAGGGCTAACAGGTATGCCTAGTTGTCTTCTTTAAATTCTATTTGATATTATTGATTTCCTACTACGTGCAATACTCCGTGAGTGATAGGGAAATGATTAGGATGTAGTCTAAGGAAGATAAATTGCTGTCCACTGCAGGGCAGTGGGTATGGAGCACATACAAGTAACCATAATAGAAGGCAGCTTGTCGTTAAGTACTAGAATAAATTATAAACAAATTTCAGTGGGAGTATAAAAGAGAGAATAATTAACTTTAACTGGATGTTTTTTAAGAGGTGGCACTACAGAAAGAGCAACAGAGGGGAAAAAAGGCACTTCTCCCAGCCCTGGGAGCAGCCTGAGTAGGGCAGGGGATAGGGGAGGGTACAAGGTGCGTTTGGAAGATGAATCCCATCAGCATGTGTACGGAGTCCTTGCAGGGCTTGCCAGAAATGTAAGTGGTTGACTAAACTGGAACCACTTCATGGAACACCATTTTAAGGAATATTAACTTTATTGTGAAGCAGTAACAACAATAATTCCATGTATCAAGTACCTAATATGTAACTGATGCTGTGCTAGGCTGTTTATAAATATTTCTTCTAAGTCCTGCAAAAGCCTATGTGTGAGTATTATTATGTCCATTTTATGGATGAGAAATCTGAGGCTTTAAAGGTTTTTGGACAAAGGGAGGGCTTTGGGGTCTGTACTTTCAGAAAGTAACTCTGGCAGCAGCAAATGGGAAGATTGAATGAGAGAAGTATGGGCACTTTAGGGCTCCCCCAATTTCTAACATATTTTTGTCCCCCCAAATTGGTTAACAAGGGACAAATAAGTGATGAGTATTTCTAAAAATGGACTGGCCCCTCCAAAGTTTTGTGGGTTGAGCAGGCTTTGAAGCATATGGTCATTTATGGAATTTAATCCTTTTCCTCCCATGGTTCTTCCCGGCGTTGCCCATGAAAAGCTTCCCCTCCAGGGACAACAGTGAGGAATTCCTCAGCAGCACCTCCTGACCAGGCATAGCAGAAAAAAGACCCAGAGTAATGTTTATTAGCAGATAGCCCAGTGGTCAGCCCTCTTTCAGCTGTCTGTCCACATGAGCTTCTCTGTACTCACCCTGCATCAACCCAGATGCTTAACTCAGTACCACCCCGAGATCCCCAAAGGAATCCACTTATAAACAAATTGGTGAACAATATTGACTTTAATTATTTACTTCATAGGAGCAGGGACTTTCATAACCCACCCCACAGCAAACTATTTACCAATCTTCGCAAGCATTGCCATTCTCCAAATCCTTATTTGACAGCCCTGTCCTGTGAGTTTCCCTCTCATTACCCTTCCCCAGTGTGCTCCCAGCCAAGGCGAAGCTCCACACTCTGTCTCTGCGTGTCTTCCCTATTTGTTCCATCCCACTTATTTCCTTCCCATTCTAATAGGAAGAACAACTCAATGTTGCCCCAACTCCTACCTGCAATGTGTATCTCCAAAGCCATCATCCTGCTTAGCCAAATGCAGGCTCTCTTTCAGTTTAGTCTTCTTTAAAAGAAACCAGGAAGAGATAAAGCCAGAATGCTTTTCCTGTGACATGTACATGACTGTACTTTCTTGCATAGAGGGTACAGCCCAGAAGTTGAGGGTTGTGTGTTCCACATCCACTTAACCTAGCACAGGGAAAATACATACAGCAAGCCCATGTCCAGGGTTCTCCTCTACCAGAGAGAATGGTTCTAAGCCCTTCCTGTCTCTTGGTTCCTCTTTCCTCCCAAGTAAGGCCCAGGACTAGAGTCAGGGGAAAAGTGCCTGAAGACATAGTAAAACCTTAATAAATAGTTGTGAAATGAATGAGTCAGTGAGTGAAAGGGAAATAAGAAAAGATAAAAGAACTTTGAGAGTGGCCTCACCAAGATTATTTCAGTCTGGCTGAAGGGAACTTTGAGAACCGACCCAGGGTGATAGAATGAAATGTGAAGAGTGAATGACAGGATGAAGTTTGAACACAGGATCTGGTATTGTCCCTGACTTCATCACCATATGTGCAATCTTGGGGAGATCTCTGAGCCTCAGTTCCTCATCTGCCCCATTAGACTGCCTGCAGATGGTTCGGCATGGCCAGTGACCATCGGGGTCCTCAGGGCAGCCTGACATTTGTGTTTCAGGCTTCTTCCCCAAAGGCCCAGACACCCAGGGCCCCTTGGCGCCTCTGCACTCTGCAGAAAGCTTTTCTTGGCTGCAGTCCTGTCCCAGGACCTTCACTGCCTGCTGGTGGAAAATAATTCTTGGTTGTGGAAACTGGTAAACCCCACATATTTTACAGTTGAGAGTCTGAACTCCTAATGATTCTAAATGCAATGTGAAATGGATAGAAGTCATCCTACTGGTGTGACATGCCTGAAATAGTGTCACCACCACTATTACCTCCCATGTGGACATGCCGTCATGGAAAGAAAAGCAAGTCACAGTGCCTTGGCTAATGCTGTTCCTTTACCCCTCACCCCAGCCCCTTTTCTGTGCTTTTCTATAATTTTAAAGAAGTGGTCTGTTTGTTCTGCACAAAAACAACCAAGGTCACCCAAAATCAAAGGACAAAGGAAATTAACAACCTTCGGTTCTCAGACCTGACCCATGGATCAGAGCGGAGCTCTGGCAGGGTGCATCGGCTCTCAATATGTGTGCAGAGGGAGAAATCTTTTCAGGTTAAATGGCCACCCATTCACTGCCACTGGGGTCAGGGTTGTCAGAAACGTCCCTTTGGTCAGAGCCAGTGATTTGGAGACTAGAGACAGTGAGTTCCTAGGAAATGGAGAAAACGTGCCTTTTTATTTTTATTTTTTCTCTGATTTGGTCGAGAAATTAAGGTGGCCTAGAACCCGGCTGAGATAAGGAAACGCCCAAAGGGTATGTTATTTTTCAAAGTTGTCCACCACGTCCTGGGTCAGCTGGCCTCTGGCGCCCAGCCTGCCGCATCCTCTCCGCACGCCTAAGCCTCCTGAACCGAAGCCTTGGCAGTGAGAAGCAGCACCATAACGATGTCCGCGCCCAAGTTGCATCAAAGGGACGCTGGTTCTCACTGAGCGGATCCACATTCATGGGTGTGCGCGCGTGTTTGTGTGTGGCGCGTGTGTGTGCGCGCGCGCGCGTGTGTGGCGGGGGCGGGCTCTGCGCCCGGGGGCAGGGCTCGGCAGTGAGAGTGGCAGCTGGACTTGCCAGGCTGCGAGGGCAGGGCGCAGAGCCGCAGTGCCGTAGTAGCGGGCAGCTCAGATACACTGCTTTCGAGCTGCGGATCCCCGAGCAGAGCCAGAAGACCCTGGCTCTGCCCAACCGCAGCCCGGCCGCCCGATCTCCGCGGAGCCCACCCGGGCTGCCATCTCCCTCCCCCGAGACGGCCGCGCGGGCGGGAGGACGCGCAGACGCCAGCTTCGGTCCCCTTTCTGTCTCTCGGTTCCTCTTTCCTCCCAAGTAAGGGAATAAGCCGCGAGGAAGGAGCGTCCCGGGCAGCCGCGCAACCAAGTGTTGCATGGTGAGGTAAGAAGGGGTCTCCGGCTGCGGGGCGCGCGGTGCAGCAACTTGGAAAAGGAGGGCAAAGCGGGAGCCGGTTCTGTGGCCAGGGAAGGGGCTGCAGCCGAAGCCACCGCGCCCACTCTTACGGTGCCACCTGCCGCAAAGCCCTGCAGGAGGGGATGCCCCACTGGACGGATGCGGGCACGGGGTGGGAGGGGTACGGGGTAGGGCGCCGCGTCCCTCTGCGACTGCGAGGTCCACCAAACCTGAAAGTGTGCGGGCGGGAGGCGGCCTTGCTCCAGGCAGTTTGCTGAAGCAACTGGTCGGGTTTCTTCCCTTTTGGACTTACCTTGGCTGGTTGATATCCAGTTAGCGCTTCAGGGTGCATAAGGAGGGCAGCGAGGAGCTGGAGATGCTTTTCCTAACGTCTGGCCGCCAAAGCCTCAGACCGTCCCGCGAGGCTCTAGGACTTTGGGGCACTCCGGAAGAGAATCTAAGGCTGGCCTGTTTAGCCTCGGAGTCACAAGATGTGTCCGAGTGTGTGTATTTGTGTCTCGAGGGGTGCGCATCCAGAATCACCTGTGGGGCTTTCCCAAACTCCACTGGTCCACCTCACCCTGAATATTCTGAGACTTTCTTTCTCTGAGAGAGTGGACTAGAATTTGGGGAGGGGGCTGTAGAGTTCTCAAAAGCCCTACAGGTGATTCTGATGTGCCGCCCCCATCCCCGCCATCACTGCAGTGGAAAGCGTGGGACAGGAGCGAGGAGACATCTCCCAGAGGTGAACCATCCAGCCGCGGAACTCAGGGTGGCCCCTAACCTGCGACCCCTCCCCCGGTCGCCCCCGCGGCAGGAGGGTCTGCTGCAGCGCGAGGTGACTTGTGGCCGCGCCGCAGTGGCGCGCTTGAGCGCTGAGAACCCGAGGGCTGGCTCGCAGGCGCCGCGCGGTTGTCTCCCCCGACTGCATTAGCATACGGTGCCCTCGCTGCGGGGAGGAGGGGCTGGGAGGGCTGTCTGTCGTTCTTTCATTTCGCGGGCTTGGGGAATGCTTCTTGGATCTGGAGCTGTACACCAGGGGAATCATGATGCGGGACATTGGTCAGAACAGAGGACTGGAAACTGCCCCTCTGGTCCGGAGGGGGATCGACTTCGATATTTCGGTGCCTGGGATTCGTTATTTATAAACTACAGGTCGCAGAGCCACTTGCTGGAGGCACCCTCGTTAATGAAGGACATTAGATCACAGGGGGCAAATGTCAAGGTTTGGTCATGAACGTGTGCACGCGCACACCCACTCGCCCCATTATACCGTATGCCGCTCTTATTCCGGGGACGTGTCCTAACGTGGGAAGGTACTCCATCGTTTGTTATGTTAAAAAGGGCTCTATTTGCCAGAGACTCCACTTTGAATATAAATTATACTCATTAAATAAAGCGGCTGCAACTATACTAACTTCCCCATTGTACGCCTGATCGTTTTTTTTTTTTTTTTTTTTTTTTTTTTTTTTTTTTTTTTTTTTTT